TTAGCTTTTTTTTTTTAAAAAAAAGTGGTGAGCTTTGCATTGTTCCTTGGTGAGCTTTCCATTGACAGTTGGTGAGCTTTGCATTGATAGTTGATGAGCTTTACACTTTGACCGCCCATGACCAATGGCCACCACCGATGACCCCCACTATTTTCGTGGACCGGTGGTTGAGCGGTGGTTGAGTGGTGGTGTTATTTTTTTAACTTTTTTTATTTAAAAAAAGTGATGAGCTTTGCATTGACAGTTGGTGAGCTTTGCATTGGTAGTTGGTGAGCTTTGCATTGGCAGTTGGTGAGCTTTCCATTGCCAGTGTTGTGTGTTGTGTCATCTCATTGAAGCATGCCATCTTACCATAAGGTGTCATCTCACTGGAGTCAATCCCATATATATATATATATATATATATATATATATATATATATATATATATATATATATATATATATATATAGGGGCCGGTTCCTGTGAGAATGCACCTTGTGGAGAGAAATGAGAATGAAATCTAGTCGTTGGATATGATGCATCGTGCGGCTCAGATTGCATCCTGCGTTCAGATTTTGATATAGTGCATTTTTAAAGGATTATGATGCATTTCAACGTGATGCATTTTTAAACCATTTTGTTGCATCTGATTTTGATGCAATCCTAACCTTTAGATCTCACAATCTAAAGCACCAGATTCATTCTCATTTCTCTCCTAAGATCGCATTCTCACCAGAACCAATATATATATATATATATATATATATATATATATATATATATATATATATATATATATAAATATATATATATATATATATATATCCTATATCCTATATATCATATCCTATATATCTTATATCCTATCCTATATATATATATATGTAAAAGAGGGTTTCAAAGTTGTGGTGACGACACGTGTCATGCCACACGTGCATACTAATGACACGTGTCCCCCCACGCGTATATCACATGACACATGTACGTCCATCCATGCATGTGAGTTAATTTTGTATTAAATAATCCGTATTTTTATTTTTTATAAACTCTTCACTTTCCAACAATAAAAAACTATTATTTTTATTAACTTTTTATAAACTCTTCACTTTTTGACTATGTTAAAACCAATTTATTGTTTTGACGTATCTTAAAAATATGCACGATTATTTTATAATTTTAGAAAATTTATGTATATAATTTATTGATTAAAAAGATGTTGCTTATAATTTTTAAAATTATCCATCATATCAAAAAAAAACTAATTACATATAAATTTTATCACACGTGCATCTTTATTAAATTCATATTTTAGTTGTTTTTCTTATTACATTACTTATTTTACTATATTTTTTTCAGCAAACTAAACAAAGTAAAAATTTAATTGAAGGATTACATGTGGCACATACAAATATGCATTATCTAATGATGTGACATTCCTTAATTGATCTATTCGAGATTTTTATATTAATTTTTATTAATTAAAACAATTTTCATTATTATTTGATGACCATTAATTTTGCATAAAATGTTTATGTCATGGAGGCACTACACCTCCCCACATGTCATGTGGCACATGCATGTATATATTTATTATTATTAAATTTTTATAAAAACTTCACTTTCTTACATTAAATAACTTATATTAAATTTTTATAAATCCTTCACTTTCTTACACTAAATAAGCATTACTGTTGAACAAAAAGAAAATTATTGTTATCAAATTTTCAAAATAGTATTTTAATTTTTTTTATCAAATATAAATAATTATTAAATACAAATTTATTTCAAACTTTTTATCCTATTACATACTACAAATAAAAGAATCCACCATNATATTTAATTATAATGTAAATTTTGAAAAAATGTATCTATTTAAAATATTATTTTCATATATCAAGTTTTTATGACATTTAATTATTTAAAATTGTATTTAAAGTATTACATAGTTTTACCAAAAAATCCTAAAAGGGAGTATATAGATTAAAAATCTTAATATATTTTATTTGATTATTGTATTTATTTGGAGTTTATATGTTATACCATTTAAAAATATGTAACATACATAATTAGTTATATATCTAAAAAAAGTATAAAATTTATTAATCTTTTAAAAAAGAAATCCTGACGTTGTTTTCAATAAGGTATTTATCATTTTATCTTTTATTACTTCATTAAGGTAAAAATCACGGCTAGCCAAATTTATGATGTTTCACACACACACACACACAGATATATATATATATATATATATATATATATATATATATATATATATATATATATATATATATATATAAATACATACATACACACACACACACACATACATACATACATACACACACACACACACACACATATATATATATATATGTATATATTTGTGTGTGTGTGTGTGTGTGTATGTATGTATGTATGTAAAAGATAGTTTAGGGGTTGTAGTGTTGACACATGTCATACGTGACAAGGCAGTAAACGCCAACGCGTACAGACCTCAAACATTAAACGCCAACGTGTAGGCCAATGTGTGCAGACACTAAGCATTGATGTTCGTCTTTCGCAATTCTCGCTTCAATAGTAACATGTACAGATGTCCAGCCGTCATATATCCCTAACGAACATCAAAACACCAAAATGAACATCAACCGGTACAACGCCAAAATGAACATTTAAAATCATTACAAAAAATGAATCTCTTCAACCACCAACATCAAATTAAAAAACCCCAAAATAGAATAATATCACTCTTCACATTTCACAAAATAAAAAGATACAATGTAGCCTTTCAAAAAAACAATCTTTATAGTTTACTCCGTCATCTTCCTGTTCTTTATTTTAAAGTCCTTAAAAAATTATTTTACTTTTAAAAAATAAATAAGTTAGAATTTTTAATTAGAGATAGAGTGAGTATATGTTATCTACTTTTTTAATTTTATTTATTTTATTTTTACTTATAATAAAAAAATGCATTTTATTTCATTTTTGATTTTTCATTCTCTTTTGTAACCTTTTCTTAAAAAAAATTTTGTTTTGAAAAATAAATAAATGAAAAATTTATGTTTTATTTTATTTATTTGTATAATAAAGAAAAAATGAAAATAAAAGAGTGAAAGTCGAAGATAGAGAAAACGAAAGGGTATAAATGTGATTTTAACTCTAAAAATAGGCAAGAGGGGGCATGTGTGGACAATTTAAAAACCACAAAGATTTTACAAATAGTTTTTGAAAATA